TGGAGAATGGGGTGTCATGGGTCCCCCTGATCACAGGTTACTCCACAGGTAGTTCACTTCTAATCATTCGCATTTTCAGGTCTTGTCTGACAACAACGTCCCTGGTGCATGGTTCTCAAGGTGTCTTTCCTAGGGTACTCAGAACCTCTGGGCCATCTCTGGCCGGGGACTGTGCTCTCCCTGGCCTCCCAGACCTCAGCTGGGTGCCACCGGGAGGTCTTATCAAAAGCTCTTAAGACACTTTCTCAGAACCCTTAAAGGCTGATGAAATTCTCAGGAAGCACCTTGGATATCCTGACTTTCAACGGTAATGTTTCCTCTCAATTTACAGTCAGAGCAGGGGTATGTCCTTTTCACTGCATGCGTGTTGGCTTCAGCGTCTGCATTGTTTGTATGAGTGGTCGTTTGCATTGTATGCATTTTAGATGCAGCCCAAAAGATGCCCCATTAGGGTCAGACGAGAGTCTTGAGAAATGTCTTTCAGCTCTCAAGTATGTCACATGACAGATATGCCCAAATTCCCAGGGTCTGGTGAGTATCACGTGTCCTTGAAGAAAGGAGGGGATGGGAGGTGGACTGTTTGGGGGGCAGGAGGACACGGGAGGGGCAGTAGTGCTCGGTGGGGGCTCAGCACGTCAGGCAAGCTGGTGGCCCTCTGTCAGCGGCCCTCTCGGTGCCAACCCCGGAGGTACGTGGCCTCTCCACACCACCCAGCAGAAGAGGAATATGGGCTCCAGGTGAGGTCATGGTTTTCTCCGTAAATCTTTGCAGGCACATCCTGCAAAGGGAAGAGCAGCTCCTCCGGGCCTCCGGGCCTCCGGGTGGCTGCCATCGCGGAGCAGCCCTGCTGGAGCCGGCCAGCCGGGGACCTGCAGCCCCGAGTGGTTGCGGCCTCTGTGGTAAACACCGGACCATACTGTGGCCCAAGCCCAGGCCCTGCTGAGAGCTGGCGGCCTGAACGAGTGGACACTGTCCTCACCGAGACTAAGGGGGCCTCTCGAGACCGAGTGGGTTGTGGCGCTCATATAATGGACTGGTTCAGGGGGGCATCAGAGCCAGGAGACAGGCTGGGGTTGCTTCTCTGTTTCCAGCTCAGGCTGGGCACCCTCGTGGTCAGGTTTCTTTGGCAGGGGGCCTTGGAGGAACGCAGGGCAGGAGGTGGACCCGGTAAGCTGCCCACGGCTGCTGCCTCAGCTCTGAGCGTCGGGTCCTGGGTGCACAGAGCTGCAGGCAAGGCTGGGGTGTTAGACTCAGTGTGTGCGGGACACAGGCTGCAGGTTCCTCAGGCCTTTGGGGGGCACTTAACAGCAGTATTTAAAAAACAAACAATTTTATTGATGAATCTGAGTTTGTGCACAATAATATTGTACATCAACATTCCTAAGAAATAGGGTGAAATATCCGTAAGTAATAAAAAACATTTGTCATTCTTGCCTGGATATAATGTTCTCTATGGGTCTCAATGAGGAAATGAACAGATAGCTGTTTCCCAGAAGGGGCAGGACAGCATCGCAGAAACAGGCCTCTTTTCCCTGTAGCCTCCTGGTCCTGGTGGGAAGGTTCCCCGCGATAGGCCCTTGCAAACTGGCAGGTCTGCTGTGAACCAGGTTATCTTTTCAAAATTATACGGCAAACCTATTGGAGATGTTTTTATATATATGAGAATGATCGCGTGTATTTTTCAAACCCTACTTTAAAAAGACGTTTTTAAGCCAAGATACTAAGATCGGCCTTGTGCCGAAAGCCCGAGCATTCCTGTGTTCACCGCCCGAGGCCATTTGAAGGGCCTGATTTCCCCGGATGTATGGCGGGGCCTCCTTGCTCATCCAGTTCAGAGGCGTCATGTCTGTGATTCGGATTCGTATGGGTGGCGTGGAGACACATCTCAGTCAGCCCTGCCCTTGGCGCTGGGGACCGATGACAACGCGGGGAAAAGGAGCAGGTCCGTGCCAAGAGTGGGCTTGAGGCAACCAGAAACTCTGTTGCGCCGCCCCGCCCCCGGCCTGGCGCCACCCCGCCCCCTGGCCTGGCCCCGCCCCCGGCCTGGCGCCACCACGCCCCCTGGCCTGGCTCACCACGCCCCCTAGCCTGACCACGCCCCCGGCCTGGCCCACCACGCCCCCTGGTCTGGCCCCGCCCCTGGCCTGGCCCACCACGCCCCCTGGCCTGGCCACGCCCCCTGGCCTGGCCCCGCCCCGGCCCTCTTTCCTTTTCCTGAGTTCTGCGGAGAAACGTGTATACCCTGGAGTGCAGGCGGCGGGGCGTGTGTTCGTGACCCCTGACAACGGGGCATGAATGTGGGGTCCTGGCCTGCATTTCAAGAGGCCGGAGATGGCCTGGCCGAGGCCACTCTGTCCCCTGCGGGTACCGGCTGTGCTGGGACAGAGCCGCGTGTCCGCGCATGGTCCGCTGGTCCGCGCGGACGGCGCAGGGGAGAAGGGCGCAGCCGGCACCTCGCCGCACTCCCTGAAACGCGGAGAGGCCGAAGGGCGCCTGTTCAGGTGAGCTGTTGGCTCCGTAAGAGACAGTCACTGGGACGTGGGTTTTATTATGATACAAAAACACAAGTTCCCACCAAGACACAACTAAAAAAATAACACATTTTCCCAAGGTTACATTACCAAAAGCTAATAATATCGTTCGAATATACCCATTAATACTGCTTGAAGAAGCATTACATTACATTAAAAACACGGGTGGTATGTGATTTTTTTTAAGCATTAAAGTGCTTTAACCAATCAAAACAGAAGCAGAGTTGATGTGTGTAAAGTGCTGACCTGTTCTAAGGGACAAGTTACACCGTGTCCCCGATCTGTGCATGTTGGGGACCTGGGACAAAATGACTGCTTCCCAGCAACCCAGCCCTGTTGGCGAATGTGTGGAAGCAGCCAAAACCCGATCCGGGGCAGTGTGGGGTGGGCGGGTGGTCTGCTGTGGGGTTCCTGGTGGTGGGGATGCCCGCTGCCCAGCATACAGCTTCCCTCCCACCCCCGCTGCTGGAAAAACCTTGCACCTTAAAGGCTGTTAATTTTTCTTGATTTTTGCATTTGAGAGCAAGTTTCAAACCAGTGGGGATTGTCACTCCTGCTGCGCTGTGGAGTTCCTCCCAACCCGGATGGTGTCTGCCCAGCTTGCTCGCAGTGTGTCCTGTGTCGTGGGGATGGAGAACAGGCCCGTCCCTCAGGTTCCCGCGGGTCTGGGTGGCTTTGTGCGGCCTGGGCCTGGGAGTGCCCACTGTGCGGGCTCTGGCCCTCTTTCCTCCCTGCATGTCCAAGGGCTCTGCCTGCCCTCTGCTCACATCATCTCACTAGGCCTTCCCAGGAACACAGGGTGGGACCCTTGTGGCAGTCCCTACCAGACTCACCCAGACAGGGAACGTGCCTAAGAAACAAAGCCGCTTGCGACCCAGGACCTCACCTGCGTCTCAGCTGTGCTCATAGGCCCCAGGGAGTTTGGGGATGGGCTCTGCAGCCCCTGAGGTATCAGGGCACAACTGGGGCCTCTGGCACGTGGCCACAGGAGCAAGTGCCGGACTGAGCCCAGCAGGCTGTGACACCTGAGCCATGGGACTTAGATCTTCTGTGCCAGTTTCCTGGTCTGTGAACCAGCAAGGATAGGGTACTTCCCTCGAGCCTCAGGAGTGTGATGTGAGGACACATGGGTGACGGCCACACTCAGCCCACATCGGCCCTGAGACTGCACCCAGGACTGCGGTGGTCCGGGTGTGGTGTGCATTGTGGGGAGCCTGCAGACCCCCCCCCCACCAGGAGCTGAGCACTTCCAGGCTGATTGGTAAAGCCTTCTGCCCACTGGAACGAGCCATAGGTTGGTCCCTAGGGAGCACAGGAGAGGTGGGGTGGGATGGTGGGTACACGTGTCTGCTGAGCACACACTGCTTCATCAAGCAGCCTGGGGACGGACACTCGCAGCTTTGCCAGATGGTCCTGGTCTGCACTGGCCTCAGGCTCTGGCTGGGTGCTGGGCTGCCAGGGGCTCCCCTGCTGACTGGTCTCTGGACCACCTAACTTGGGAACAGCCCTTCCTCTTCCAGTGCCCAGCCTGCTAAGAAACATGGAAATCTAAGAGAAAAATTGGCCCCTGACACCTGATATTCTCCCGCGTGGAGAGGCCTGGGCTTGACTCAGCTGAGTGGACCTGGTGTGATGCCTGCACTGCTCTGGCCCCATGGCCTGAAAAGATCCCTAGCTTTCTGCTTCCCAGGCACAGGCATCCTGCGTGGTTTGTGGCAGCGAGAGCAGACCCACAGGGACATCAGGGCTGTCTGCACCTTCCCCTGGCCTGGGCCGCTGCTCCTGTGGTGACCTGAGTGAGCAGGGCCCTGCTGGAGGCAGAGGCCACCGTCCTGGCTATGATTGCAGAGTGCCAGCTCCCCAGCCGGGTCTCAGCTTGGGTCTCAGGATTCCCCGAGTCCTGCCTGCCTGGGCCCTGGGGTCTGCCTCATGGCCTTGGTTCACTGAGCTCCTGCTTCGTCTTGGGCAGAGCTCTAGGCCCCTTGGCCTCTGCAGCAAAGGCTCTGAAGCTTCCCGGCAGGTGGAAATGGCCCCATCCGGTGTGGGCACAGGGGCTGTTCCCAGCCTGCCAACTCCAGCGGGCCTCATAAAGGCCAGGACCCCTCCCCCTGCCTCAGCACAAAGCCTGCCTCCTTGCCCCCAGGGGTGGCCACCTGGGAAGGGCTCTCCCAGAGGCCTGAGAAAGGTGCCCCCACCCCACTCCCAACATTCAGGCAGGGCAGAGCTGCCCCAACCCAGGAGCTTCCAGCAAAGGGCCGCCAGACAGCCACGGCTGTGGGGGGACTTGCCCTGCCCTTCCACGGCCCCATCTGGCACCTGGAAACACGTGACCTGCGCCCCCTGGTTTGCCCCTCCGTGTCTTTGCCCAGCTTGGTTATCTAGACCTGGGAAGCCGAATGTGGCCAGGTTGAACCCTGAAGAGAATATTAGAAATGAAAGTTAAAAAAAAAAAAAAGCTGACCCACCGTGTAAAAAAGGGCAACATTTTATGAATATTGACAATTTCCAGTAGTCTAAGGAGCATGCTGTCCCTGGCTGTGCTGAGAGGCTTGCCCAGGACAGGTGACTGCTGCCAGTGGTGTCCACGTGGGTGTTGGCTTGTGGCAATTGGCCGGAAGACTCCTTGCCTCCTGGGGGGGACCGTGGCTGTGGCATTTCCCGCCCACATTCTCCAGTTCCAGTGAGGTGCTGATTTTCATGTGGGCAGGAAGTGGATGGTAGCTACAGCCGGGTTGAAACTAGTGGTCAAGTGTGCAAGGGACAGACTGACCCTCAAGTCCAGCAGAGGGACCCAGCCTTGGGCAGAAGTGTAGTCTGGAGCACTGACCCAAAAATAAGTGTGTTTCCGATACAGTCACCGAGCCGCTCACTGCTACCCAGAACCGAAAGACAGCGTAGAACTACTTTTTGGCAGTCCAGCGGCAGAGGCGGCCCTGTACTGAGAAAGATCTCACTTGGGTGCGGCAGAGTCCTCAAGGAGGATGAGGCAGGGAGGTGCTGGCCGCCCCAGGGCTCACCTGTGTGGCTAGGAGTCCCTGCGCCCTTTCCCCTGACCATGGGGGCTGCGGGCTGGCAGCACCTCCTGGGGCTGGACCTTGCCTTTCCCTGGGCACTGCCCAAAGGTCCTGCCTCCCGGGCAGCTTCTGACAGAAAGCAAGGCTCTGGGGGCTGCAGCCACAGGCTGTCCACGCTTGGCCTGGTGGGAGCCCCCTGTGCCCGCCTCAGTGGATCTCGCTCTCCGTGAACTCCTCTTTGATGGGCTGTTTTCGGGACTTGCAGTCTGGGAGGTCAAAGCCAAAGTCGGCCCACTCCTCAGGCCCTGAGCCCCCGCCAGGGCCTCCCCTGTTGGGGATGGTGATGGTGTGGCGCACGCGGAAGTGCACGGCCTCCATGACCCGCTGGCGCTGCAGCTCCCCCGAGCTGCCGATGGAGATGGTGGAGGCGTTGCTGCTGGAGCGGATGAAGTCCTGGCCCTGCTTCAGGTCCTGCAGGCCCCTCCAGATGGTCATGCGGTACTGGTCTGGGATCTTCAGGGCCCCGAGGTCCTGCAAGCGCAGCAGCCCCGCCGCCCGTGAGGGGTTCAGTCTGCGTCGCGGGTCCTGCCCTCTTTTCCGCCCACCAGGGACTCCCACCACCCCCTGAAACTTGACAGTGTGGGGGCAATAGAGCAGCTGGGAGGGGCCCGGGAGGAGGGGCAGTGCTGGGCACTGCTCCACGGAGTGGCCACACGGATTCTTGGGGGGCAGCCAGAGGTGGCAGGAGAGCTCAGAAGTGGAGTGTGTATGTGTGTGGGGGGGAAGGGGTGAGGTCACTCCTGGCCACAATCAGGGACAGCCAGAGCCCTTCCACAGGAGGTCCTGGAGGATGGCCATGTCAGGGCGGGGTTGCTGCCCTGCCACACCTAGCATGCTGGTGAGGCTGGTTAACATGCACCAAGCTAGCCCAGCGGGGTCCCTAGGGACAGGTGGGTAGGGGGCAGTAGCTGACACAGAGACACAGCCACCCTCTGAGTGTCCCCAGCTCTCTGACAAACCCTCATCTCTGGCCTGGGGCCCCGGGTTGGGGCTGAGCCGGTTGCTGGGGGAGCAGGGGCTGCAGGGGGTTCCGGGCCCTTGAGCTGCAGTGCCTCACCCCGCCCCCGCCAGATCTGGGACTGATGGCTGTGTCTTCTGGGCTCTTGAGGCTTGTGCTGCCCTTGGCTAATAGCGCAAAATGGCTCAAAGCAAACCCCAGGCTACAAGCAGATTAAGTCTCACAGCCATAGAGGGACTCACACTGGTATTGCTGAACCCAGAGGTGAGCATGGCTGTGTGGTCCTGATGCCCAGGACACTTCCAGTCCCACAAACCCAGAACCCAGGGTGCTCAGTGGCTGCATGTGTATAGCATGCAGTGTATCTCACCTTTTTTGAGCCTCAGTTTCTCCCCATGTAAATGGCACTGAACTAGACCAACTCTAAGACCCATCTGGCATTTGCCTTCCTTTTCTTTCTGCCTTGGAAACTGCCTGTACTCCAGAGCCAAAGGCAGCCTGGCCACAATGTGTGAGAGAAAAACCCAGCGACCACTGGCTGCCCACTGCCTGCACCCCTGACTTTGCCCCGGATGTGCAAGAGTCAATGTCACAGGGCTCGATGTGACAATACAGCAGGGTCTCCCAGACCCCCCAGCTTCCCTCACACGGCAAGAGCGGGATGCCCCGGAAGAGAAGGCTCTGCCTCGGAAAGGGGTCCTTGGCGCCTGCGGGGGCAGTTACCTCTATCGTTAGGTTCTGCAGGTGGTAGATATTCTGTAACCCTTGGGAGGTGAAATACTCGATGCAGTTGGGACACCCCAATCCTGTTAAAAAACTGCAGAGAGAATTTGAGTGATAAAGTGGCATTAACTTAAAAGTCCCTGACTGGGGGGTGATCGGCCTCCTGAAGGTGACTCCTGGCCGCCCCTGCCCACCAGTGATCTCGGTGTTGGGACATGCTCACCCTGGGGCGCAGCCTCCAGGGAGCCCCTGGCTTTCTGTGCCCCTCCACCCCTGCCAGTGGCTCCTCCTGACGTTTTCTCTTCCTCTGTCAGTTCTCCAGGTGCAGAGTGGACACAGCACAAGGGCAGGTGGGGCAGCTGACCAGAAGCCATGAAAGGGGCTGAGCTTGGGTTAGTGGCAGGGCCTGGCAGTGACTCACGTACCTGACGAGGCTGGGGTCAGCATGGTAGGGGGGTGGTGGGGTGCAGTGCGACCCTGAGATCATGGACTGGGAGCTGTGGCCACCATTCATCTCACCGTTGGCTGGCAGGGTGTGGCTGTGACTGTTGAGTATCCCGGGGCCTGGGCAGGAGGCAGGGCAGGCCCTCAGAGCGAGCTGGTGCCGGCGTCCGGGGCTCCCACGACATGGGAAGCTCACAGGCACAGTCACCCTGGCATTGGGAATGGATGGGACCATCCAGGTCTGTGCCTCCTGCCCGTGGACAGAGCTGCTGAAGGGAGGCAGCCATCGCCAGTCTGCTTGCCAGCCCTTAGGTTCCCAGAAGTGTCTGAAGCCAGGCCTGCCCTTTGAGCCTTCCGCCCCAGCCACTCACCCATGGGCCCCAGGCTGGGCCCGGCTGCTGAGCTGTGGGGTGGAGGCTGGCCCACCAGCTGGTTGACCGAGGGCAGCTTGTTGACGCCCCCGTGCACTTTGTTCATGGGGTTGAGGACGGGCCCGTAGGTCGGAGGCTGCAGGTGGCTCCTGCCCAGAAAGTGACAGTTGGAGTTGGTGAGTGGGGTAGGCAGCTCTCCTCTCTGGGCACCTCCACGTGCCCCGTGCTGCAGGGACAGAGACCTGACCCTCCCTCTCCTGCCCCCCACCTGGTCTCTCTGCCGGGAAGCTGGCTAGACCAGCCTGCCCGCTGTCCAGCAGGACCCTCACAATGCCTGGGAGGGCAGTGGGGGCAGCTCACGCCCTGGCCTCGGCCTTGGTGGGTCGGCGGCATTGCTCTGACCACCCCTCTTTGCCTTCTGCTCAGCAGACTTTGGGAGCCCCCCTTGGTGGGCGAGGTGGAGTGACGGCCAACACGACCCCGGTCCAGAGGGGGGGATGCCAGGTGGCCCTGCTGCCTGTCCCCAGCGGCGGGGCGGGGCCAGAGGGACTGCACTCACGACCTCTGCAGGAGCTGCTGCTGTCGGTAGGACTCCACCACCTGCTGTGGCACCAGGTCCATCAGCTCCAGGCTCTCCTTCACCTTCATCAGGATCTCAAAGTTCTCCCGGCCCCGCACCTGAGCACAGAGAGGCGAGCCCTTTGCCCAGGGCATGAGGTTGCCTCTGCCCCCAGCCCTCTGTGGGAGCCTCAGGGGACCTGGGCTTGCAGGGAGGCAGCTCCCCAGCACCCTGCAGGCCCCCCTTCTTTCCTCTTCCCAGGAGCAGGACTGAATGCATCCTGGTGGGTGGGCTCTGCCTGCCCGCCCCTCCCTCCCCAGCGCTCAGCACCCTGGGAACCTCCAGATACAGGGTGTTCGGGAGGGACTCATTCTTGAAGACATCAAAAAATGCCAAGCTCACATTATGGAGGCCAGTGCTGGCAAAGCCTGGGGTGATTTTATCCCTCGGCAGGTGCGGTCATGTCATGTGACAGCCATATGAACTCGGGTTCCAGGGTGTGGTCGCCAGACCTCAGGATCGCAGGTTCCTCACTCCTTTGACCCCGGTCCCACATTTGTGTCTACAGCCAGACTTCCTGCACTTGGGGCTGCAGCACTCAGGGTCGCCGCCTCAGCGCACCCACCTCCCTGTAGCCTGGTTCTGATTGTGGAGCCTGGGGTCTGAGCTCAGGGTGTGCCGGGCTGCTCCCGCCAGCCTCTGGCAGCTGCTGGGTCTCCTGCCTGGCTGTCCCCACCGGGGCCCTGCAGACGCAAGACACTCACATGCATGTAGTACATGTCCTCGTCACCGTGCCGCCTCTTCTTTACGCTGGCACCCAGGGCAGGGATGGCTGGGGGGCTCTGCTTGAAGGCTGGACAGTGAGGTGGGGAAGGCTTCATGAGTGGGTTGGGGAAGAGGGGCCACACACACATAAGCCAGCGGGACACTCGCCACCCAGTGTGGTTGCACGTCAGGCCAGGTGCAGTGACCCACAGGGCTGGGCAAACCCGGGGCGGCTGCCCACTTTGGAGGAGCTGGATGGGTGTGGCCGGCCTGTCACCTGGACCCAGGCTTGTGCTGTGCCCTGAGGCGTTTCACCTGAGCCCCCGAGGCCCCAGCCCAGGCCCCACGCACCGCGCTTGCTGGCCGCCCCGTTCTTTGCGGCGCTCTCATTCAGGGCCTGCTGCTCCCGGTAGTGGTCCTCATCCGCTTTGCGGTCTCGGCCGGGACAGGCACAGATGCGGCCCTCGAAGGACCTGCGGCCCAGCACCTGCCCACTGGGGTGGGGTGGGGAGGCACAGCCAGAACCATGAGCGTTGGGGGCCCCTCCAGCCCTGCCCACCTTGGGCCCCACGGGACTGGTCTTGATGGGCTGCGGGATTGGGGCTGGGTGCCAGCCGCCCTCCCAAGGTGAGCTCCAGCCTCAGCAGCACCCACAGTGGGGGCAGGTCCCCCCCTCCTCAGGTTTGCCTTCTCCTTGCCCTGGGCCTCCCTGTCTCCATGCCCAGCCCCCTGTCCGCACTCCTTTGCCCCCGCGTGCCCACAGACTCACTCCCGGGCCTCCAGGGTGATGATAATGAGGATGGGCCGCCGGTTCATGCCCCCCACACAGCTGCTGTTGCACATGAAGTTGTACAAGATGGTGGTGAATTCCGTCCCCACCTACGGGCGGGGGAGGTGGGGAGGGCTGCAGGGTCAGCATGCAGGCTCCAACCCATGGAGGGGCACTCCTGGGCCAGGAGGCACCCAGGAAGCACATGTCCTGCCTCTGGGTAGGCGTGGCACAGTGGTGTGGGGCAGGAGGTTCCTGCTCTGTGGTCCCCTTCCGTCCACCCCCCACCCTCCATCTATCCATTCATGGGGGACCCTGAGTGCCACGCACCACGCTGGCCTGGGGAGGCCCACAGGCTGTGGTCTGCTTGCCCCAGCCACCTCCCCAACCAGGCTGGGGGTCAATCCCTGGGACTGGGTGTGGGCACATGCTCAGGTCTCTGTGGGCACAGCTGGGTTTTGCATGCCATGGGCTCCCTTAGGCAGAGGGGCACTGCCCTGGGGGAGGGAGGAACCCAACCTAGCACATGTGCACGTTTCAGGAGCTTGTGGAGCGCTGACACATGAACCCAGGACTCCTGCCCCCTGGGAGTCCCGGGATCACAGAATGAACAGTTGTCATGTTCTCCCTGGGTCCGGATATAAATAAAACCCAGGCCTTGGCTTGGGAAAACCTAACCTTTCATGAAACTGCTGGCCCATGGCAGCCACCAGGGGGCAGGAGAGCCCTGCTTTCCCGGATGGCTCCGGCAGGTGAGGGTGGGGCACAATGGGAGGGAGGATGAGGTGATCGCCCCAGCCAGGGCCCCCCGGTCCTGCTGACAGAGGGCTGCTCTTAGGGTACTGCAGGAGGGGGCCTGGAGGACCGGGTACGGTTCTGGGGGGTCTCGGGAGGATGGTCTGAGACCCAGGAAAAGGAAGGTGGGGACCTGCTGTTGCCCACCCACCCTGAACCCGGACCCTTTCCACCTCCCATCCCGGTGCCTCCTTCGCCCGCCCGCGGCCCCTCCACCCCCCACCTCCAGGCCCTGCACACACCATGCCAGACCGGCAGTGCAGGTGCCTAGAGGACCAGATGGGTAGGCGTGAGGGCGGTCATGACAGTGGGAAGGAGTTAAACGGCCCGAATCGCAGATGCTCAGGACAGATGGGTGGACCCTGAAGGGGCGGGGGCAATCTCTGATGGGGGCTTCACCCTCACCACCGACTGAGGGGCTCCCGGGCCTACCTGTGGGGGCTCGTAGGGCACCATGACGCTCTGCCTGCCAGTGACGGGGTCGTCCACGTACTGCGAGAGGTTGTTGCCCTCCACACGGATGAGGTGGCTGGCCGGGGCAGACTGTCCTGCCAGGAGGGGACTCTGCTTCAGGGGGTGCCCAGGCGGGGTCCAGTCGCACTGCAACCAGCAGGACCCCAGGGGCTGGCCCGCGGTCTCCCGGGTGGGGCCTGGGTGGCTGGCAGCCCTGTGCCACTGTCCCGTGGGCACCCACACCCAAGGCCCAGGCAGAGCCCAGAGAAGGTCTTTGTTAGGAGGTCTGGGTCAGCCTGCCTTTCCCAGCCGGGGCGCCCTGACTGCTGGGCACGGGAGGCTGGGGGTCCTCACCTTCGTTGAAGTCCCGCCCGAGCTCGTGGTTGGGGCAGCGCTTCACAACCTCAGTCACGTGTTCTGCCTTCTTGTAGACGGGCATGGCGCGCACAGCAGTGCCTGGGGGCGGCGGGGCGGACACCTTGATCTGGATGGGGCATGTCTTGGCGATTTGGCAGTAGAGCTTCTTCAGCAGCGGGGAGTACTGGAGGGGATGGGGAGGCGGCATGAGGGTGCTGTCCGAACTCCCCGCCCGTGGCGCCCCCAGGGGAGCCCGGCTGCATGGTCCCTAGCTCAGATGTCGGGCCTATGCACATGCCCCTCACGGGAGTGCCTCCCAGGGGCCATCCTTCACAGCGCCTCACCGTGTGCACCCCGCCAGCTGGCTGGTTAGGGTGCAGCGAGAGCAGCTGCTCCAGTGCCCCCTGCGGCCAGGCCCAGGGGCTTTACTACTGGATCTCACTGGCTGGGGAGGCAGTACCTTCCGTCCATTTTACAGATGAGGGCAGTGGAAGCCCGGAGAGCAGGATTGGGTGGGGCTTGGAGCCCGGCTTTCCTGCTGGGACCCTTGTACCCCAGACTGCAGTGGTTGAAGGGGGGAGTGTGCATCACACCTCAGTTTTTTAGAGCCCAGAGTTAGGTTGTACTAGTATTTGTGCATAGGACTTACACACTTGCGAGCAGACTGGGTGCCCCTGAGCACTTGAGCGAGGAAGGAGCTCCCTAGAACAGGAGTCTGAGAGAGGTGCGGTCTGGGCCCGGGGGTGGGGTGGACCATGAAGCTCCAGGACCCCGCCCCGGGAACGAGCAGGTGATACCCTTTCTGGCCCTGCAGGGCCCTCCGGGGCCAGCACCCAGGTGCCTCTCATGACCCTTTCCCCCAGGGACACTGGGGAATGTTCCCAGTCTCAGACTGACGGGACACCTCCTGTCCCCAGCCTGCACCCTGAGCCCCCCTACAAACCTCCAGGGACTTGGAGTTACCCTAGCTACAAAGCCCAAGAAAGTGCCCATCACACCTCGCCATGGTACAGCCAGGGATGCTAGGCCAGAGACGGGGAAGTTGGCAGGACCAGAGAAGGAGTAGGTCTCAGCCCACCTACTAAGGAAGCTGGGGGCCTGGACAGAGCCTCCCACCCCCAGCTATGAATATAAGGCCACCTCTCTGTCCATCCAGGAGCACAAGGACCTTCAGGGCCTCGTACCCTTGGCAACTCCAAGTATGGGAAACAAGGGGGAGACCCTGGGAAATGGGGCTGAGTCCCAGCCCACGGGGCGGGGACCCCCAGTACTCTCAGCCCCTGGGCCCCATGCAGTGTGAATCTCTTCTGAGGAGTGGTGGGGATCCTCTCCTGAAACCCAGCCAGGAATGCCAGCCCATCCCTGGAGTGGGGCCCAAGGGAGCTCGGGAGACAAGTGGGCTTACTCTCTAGGGTGTCCTCTGGGGATTGGTACCCTGCTCAATTTCCCTTCAGTGCCCTCATGGAGGGGATTTGGGTAGGACTGAGGCACTGCTCAGAAAAGCAGCAACCCCCTCAGAGCGAGCACCCCCAACTGCGCAGACGCGTGTCTTGGCCTGAGAGCAGGCTCGGGTCGCGAGGGGGGCAGTAGGTCCTGCTTCTCAGGGCGACCGCTGACCTCCAATGTCCCCATTAGTGTAAATGCCACCTCTTTACTTCCAAAGCACTGATTTGGAGGATAAGCTGGGTGCCCTGCCCCAAGCGCTGTGCCCTAGGCAGCAGCCTGGCCCAATGCAAACACTAGGTGCCAGTTTAATGCCCAGCTGCCCGTCCACCCACAAGCAAGCCTTCAGAACCGGTGCCTGGACTCGGAGACATGAGTTAGTCTCAGGCAGGGCGCTGTCTGCCAGCATCCTGGGGAGGCTCCTCCAGGGGGCTCAGTGTGACGGCAGCCGCTGGGGTGCGGGGCTTCCTGGTGGAGGAGGGCCCGCAGGGAATGGTGAGCCTTGGTTGGGCTGCAGGGACATGAGCACAACTAGAGACCCGGGGCAGAGCAAGACTCAGAGGGCCATTCGCTCAACGAGCTTTTGTTGAGGACCGATTATTTTCCAAGTCCCCAGGTCACTAGAAAATGAGCTGAGTGTCCCTTCAACCCCCCAAAAACCTAGACTCATGGGAGCTCAGCCTGAGAGCCACACAACCCAGTGCTGACCCTTCTCAGCCAGTGACCTGAAGGACCAGGCCCTTCTGCAGCAGCTGGTCGGTTCCTGAGGGTGTCCCTTTGCTCTGCAGGGTCAGCGTGGACCCCAGGCATGGCTGCAAAGGTGTCCAGGGAGGGAGGTGAACTGGGGAGGGGGCACGCAGAGGACCCTCAGAGAGGGGCCCACGTGGGTGGGGGCGGACAGACACAGGACCTGGGTGGGGGCAGACAGAGGAGAACGGCCTTTGTCTGGCCACCAGGTCCCAGTTCTGGCCCTGGCATTCGGCAGCTGGGATGCCTGAAACCCTGAGACAGGCCTCGCTCAGCTGGGGGCTGGTGATTTACTGCATTTAACACCGTTGAACCTGGGCGCCAGCATGCGCCACTGTGCCATCGCCATCTCCAGGTGAGATGGTTCTGGGCTCCACCTGAGCAGGGTGGCTGTCCAAAGACCGAGGCAGGGTGGGGAGAGGGGCTGAATGTACCTCCAGGGGTGTGCTGGCCCTGATAGCCCCTCCCTCCATGTCTGAACAGCGGGGCTGGGCTTCAAAGCCCCCACCCAACTGACAACCTTTCCCTTGGGCCTGCCCACCACAGCCCCCCAGCTGCCTCCTGGGGAGCCGCTTCCCTGGGCCACCACAGCTCCACACCCATTTCTCAGATTGGGCAGACTGAGGTATAGTACTTGGGGCAGCACCTGGCTGAGCCTGGGCAGGGATGGTGTGTGAGCCCCACCTAGAAGCCCTGTGGCCCCAGCAGGGTAGAGACACTCCAGAGGGTGCTCACTGTGTCTGGACTCCTGGCCCAGGTCCTGTGGAAAAGTCAAGACACAGGACTCAGAGGATGGGGATGTGTTGGCCAGGGCACCTGCCCAGAGGAGGAGCTGCCAGGAGCTGTCCCTGGTACCGGTGCAGATGCAGCTTGCATACCCCTCCAGGAGTTGGGCTGGTCCTCACCCGGGAAAATGGTGAGGGGGCGCCGGGCCCAGGGAGGAGAGGCGAGAGCACCGCCCCCTCCCTGACTCTCTCAGCATCCTCGGCAAGGTTACCACAGGCTTTGGGCCTGGCCCAGCTCCCTCCAAGGGTGTCCCCACCCCGGTGCTGCCCCCAGCTGGATGCCCATGTGGTTCCTGGGCACTCATACCCGTCAGCCTCCAAGGGGTTGGGCTCACAGATGCCCAGCCTGGCCTGAGTCAGACAGTGTTAAGGAGAGATGCCTGATGCCCCCCACACTGGCAGCACCTGACAGGACACAGGCAGACATGGTGCCCCAGGGATGGAGGGGGGCCTGGAATGGCCAAAGCCAGGTTGGAGATGGGTGAGACCTGTAGGCAAAGGAGTCCAGAAAACCAAAGGCCTTCCTGGGAGAGCCAGGCCCAGTCCAGGAGGGCCTGAGCCCTCACCCCCCAGCAGTCCCCCCCTTCCTCCCAGAGCCAGGGCCGTGGCTGGCAGGGGGCAGGGAGGCTGCCAGGTAGACTCCCAGGTCCAGTCTAGTCTACAGAAAAGGTCACGTGGAGATGCCTCCCCCCTCCCTCCTGCCTCTCCATCCCTAGAACCGCTAGATGGATGTGTTTCAACAGATTCTGAGCTGATAAAATCTTATTTATCTTCGGCTGTTGACACGGAGCCGTCCGGACTTGCCCGCTCTGGGATGCGTATGTTCCTTCGTGCTTGCAGGAAAGGGTTTGCCCAGACACTGGTGTGTACCCATCCCTGCCCGCCCCCACCTGGCTTCTCTCCTCGGACGCCCCCTGCCCCCCACCTCCCCAGTCCGCGATGGGCCCGGCCTGGCAGGGAGCCCCGGGCTGGTGCGGGGGCGGCGGGTGAGAGGGTGGTGGCACAGTGGCTGTTAATTTTTTCGCACCCGCTCCCCAGCAGCTGGGTGCCTGGCATGGGCAGGTTCGGGCAGGAGGCGAGTGGAGAGGTGATAATAACTTGTCTGTCATTTTCCAGGGACGTGCAGCATCTTGCAAACCGCAAATACCGTTAACCAGCCTGGGTGGATCTGTTACAACAGATTCTGGATGGCGGGGCCTGTAGGGGGCGGGGGGGCTTTTGTTTTTTAAATGGTTTTTTTTTATAGCCCACTTTTATCTGCTTTCCGCACGCACGTGTGCGCGTGTGTTCATAGCCACAGCTCTCTCTTCTCTTGGGCTGTGGACCCCTTTGAGGACCTCCCCAAGGCCACAGACACCCCCTTCCACTCAACACTTGGCAGGGAGGTCTGTGGGCTCATGGGGCGATGCCTGAGACTCACGGGGAGCCCAGATTTGCCCTTCCATGTGAGGGTCCTCCTGTGGTGACGTAAGCCACAGGGACACTGCTCTTCGCTTCCCACCTGACAGTCTTGCGGCCACACTCTGTGTCGTTACTCAGCGGAGGGCTACTGGAAGCAGGGGGTGGGCTCTGACAGGTGTCAGGGAGGCCACCAGCCTGGAGAGGGGGTGGGTGCTTGTGACAGTCACCCAGCCTGCTTCAGAGCACCTATGGTCAGAAGGCAGCGAGGGTCCGTGCACAAGGGAAGCAGTGGCCGGCACCCCACCTTGTCTGCGGGCCTGATGGCGGGAGACCAGGGAGCTCTGGGATGCCAACAGGTCTGCAGTGCCTGATTAATGAGGCCGTGCCATCCCTCAAGAGCTGGCTGGGGGAGGGGGAAGCTGCATTTGCTGGCACCCCTGTGCAGGCTGGAGAGCCAGGGCTCCCCTCACCCTGAGCCCCAAGGAGGCTAAACTGGTGACGAAAACAGGTGCTCTGTCCAGGAAAGGCCCCAGAGGCTGTGGGCAGGAAGCCGCTTACCTGGGAGAGGTGGGGCTGGGGCTAGCAGGGACACCCCTCAGGGGCAGAGCAGCCTGCCCCACCATACCTTCAAGCCTTGGCCCAAGTGGGGGAGCAGAGCCACTGGCACCCTTGGCCTGGAAGTACTGTGCCTGGCAAGTGGCTAGCATGCCCCCTCAGGTCCCCCCCCCCAGACTACATGGCTTGGGCCTCCTCAGCCGTCATCCCACACAGCTGTAGGCCAGAAGAGGATGCCTCCAGTGGCTTATGT